ACGTGAACAAGGTTACGGTCGATCCCGACAAGAAAATTGCATATGTTGGAGGTGGATCTCTTTGGAAAGACGTTGACGAGGCCACGGCAAAACATGGGTTGGTCACGGTTGCTGGCACCGTCAATCACGTTCGTCCAAACATCGCCCTTCCACATAGCGCGTCGCTAATGATTTTCTTTACCATGTAGACTGGTGTAGGAGGGTAAGCAAAATCTCGTCGACGACCGAGAGTATACTGAACTTGGGCGAAACTGCACTGCAGATTGACGGTAGGGGGCGGGTACGGTTATCTCAGCGGTTTACACGGCCTCGTCATTGACAATCTCGTTGGTGTAAGTCCGCCGAGCTCGGATTCGCGTGTGTAAGACTCAAAATCATATTCACAGGTCACCGTCGTCATTGCTGATGGCCGCATCCTGAAAGCGAATGCCACTGAGAACTCCGACTTATTCTATGGGATCCGTGGCGGCGGCTCCAACTTCGGTGTTGTGACTGAATTCATCCTCCGTCTACACCCCCACCCTCGCCAAGTATTCGCTGGGATGATCGCATTTACTCCGGACAAACGTCAATCACTTGTGGCAGCGATGGAAAAATGGCGCGCCACGATAAAACCTCAGGAAGCCATGTTCGTCATGTTCGGTCGGGCTCCTCCCAATGGCGACGTAAGTGCTCACACTACTTCTTGGCCTGGCGAGTGTTGGTAATATCATTTCCTGTAGCCTATGATTCTCGCCAATCTAATCTACCACGGACCTGAGTCGGAGGGCAGAGCAAGCTTTAAGCCGATTTTGGACATTGGTAAGTGTTTGAAGATGCCTCTTAATTCTGTGGTAGCTGACGACCGTTCCAAGGCCCAGTCGCTGATCATGCCGAGGAAATCCCTTATGAGATGGTTAACAGTCTTTTGGTCAGCGCTGTAGTCCTCTCTCCTTGTCTCCCAGTCTGTCTCATATGGCCCTTTCCTATAGAACGACTTCTGTCTACACGGTGCCAACTACTTCATGAAAGGCACGCTCCTCGACAAGAAACCCTCACTCGAGATGACTCAGAAGATGTTCGACAAGGTCATGGAGTTGTCGGAATTCGGCACTATGGAAGCCAGTATTATCTTCGAATACATCTCGCACGCGAAGGTCAACAGCGTCCCTGTGGAAGAGACTCCGTACAACCGTAACATGCCTGGAAATGGCATCATCATCATCAGATGGACCGACGACGACCCGAAGTTATACAAGGTGGCCAGAGACAGGGCGCATGCGATAGCGGACCTGACGCCTCAGGGCCAAGTCTACGGAAACTACGCTGGTGGGTGGTGTGGATTTCTCTCTTGTATCATGACAGACATACTCATGATATCGCCGTAGGACCTGACAGTGACGGCTTGCCTAAGGAGGGTGCTGTACCCGGCGACCGCTCTCAGCTCTTCTTCAACAAGGCTTACCCGAAGCTCCAGGCTCTCAAGAAGAAGTATGATCCCGAACTCGTCTTCAACAAATGGTATCCCATTCAACCGGCTTCGTAAACACGACGCATCCAAGAGAGCATCTGATTTCTTGTGCGTGTACGAAGTTTGTAGAAGCATGTGCATGAAGGATGGACACGAATGTGTATCGAGCAAATATTGCAATTCCCTTTTTACCCACAATGAGTCCCGCCACATACGACTATCTTGTAGTCTTACATTCGCGCGAATGGTGTAAACCGAGGCCCACTCAACACCGCCAGTCCCCGCCACTACGAATAGCTATGTGCCAATCCAATGAGAGCTCACCGGCGCCTATACCGCGCCGCACGTCCTACTTATTGTAGTCGGCAAGAGGTCAACTTTCCCGTCAACCACCAACCACCTACCACCTACCACCTAGACCCCTCTCTTGTCATTTCCACTTGGAAAATTATCTCTACTCTCTTCATGTCGTGTTTGATCTACCCGTGTCCCAGTCCCCAGTCGTGTATCATACCTTCGCGTGCCATCTTTCTATGTTTCCGAAGCATCTACCTAGCAGGTCGTCATTACCCCCAAGCTCGCACTGTCCACAGCAATTCTTCATGAAGGTCGTTCATCTTTAACAGCAGAAGAGAGGTGAAGAGGGTGCTCAATGCAGTGGTGGTGGACATGCAGGTCAGCTGGCAAGTTGTACGTCGTTCAGCTCTTTCCGTGGCCGGTGTTTGAGCAGACGTCGCACCTACAGTACAACTGCCGGAATGATTGGAGAGCTTCTTGAAGCGTGCACCGGTTTCAAGACAGGCACGGCATACTTACTTCTCGTTTGACCGGTTCCAACGAGGGTCTCATCCGTCTCTTTCAGTCCGGAGGTTGTCATTTCTGCACCGTTTGGTGCTACCGCCGGATGTCACCCTTCATAATGGCTCGGACTCAAATACTTCCCTCTAATGTCCGTGATCATCTCGTTTCTCCCACTTCCTAACCTCGTTCATCACTAGCTTACGTCTCACAGAATGTCCGGTGTCAACTTGTCTGCACTCACCACTGCCCTAGGGGCGTTGGTGGTGAGTTATATCTACGGTTCAATCAGCGCATCCTGTTCTCATCGTACCCCTCTTTCACGCAGACCAACGGCTTCAATCTCGCTACGCTGCAAACAAATGCGGGCAGTAAGCTGACAGCGGATATGAACAATGCGATTGACTGGACCAGTGCTACTCAGGTGAGCCTGATGTTGATCTTTGCCCTCGACCGACGGTTAACATAAACTCTAGGGCTGGGTTCAACCTATTGCGCTTCTGACAGTTTATGCGCGCAATCTTGCGGGCCTGGCGGCAGGTATGTCTCTCGTGGGACTCAGGTCGCTGGTGACGGAAATTGACCTCAAAATCACAGATTTCTCAACCTACCTACCAGATGTGGTGAATGCATCGTCTGAATCAGGCCGTACAAGCAGCCTCTGGACCTTCATCGCTGTGAGCATCAGCACACTGCACAATATTTCTCGATTGTTCATTACCATTGCTTCGGTACTAGACTATCAACACCACCCCTCGTCTGTCTACGACCGCGTTCGAGTCGTGGCAGACGTCGATGGCCACGTGTGCTACCAACTTCGCCACTATCTTGACTTCTACCAGTAATACGGACCCCGCTCTCCTGAGCATTTTATCGACCCTTCAGAAGTACAATCAGCTTATCCCCGCCGCTATCCAAGCGGCGCAAGTTCTCGACAATTATCAAACTTCCGTCGGCGAGGAAGTAGCTGGTATCATGATGTGGGCTGCGAAGCCTACTGTCTCGGGCAAGGTGCGCTAATACTATCCAATGTGTAACATTCGGACAGCTGAACCTGGATGCTATAGGACATACCCTTCCTGTTGAAGACCTTCAAGTACACGAGCACTAGTTCGTACGACAGTGACAACATAATCCTCACGAATGTGAGTGCCTCAAGCCTCTTTTCTTCTGCTTTCCAACTGAACCTCGCTCTGTTCCAGTGGACTCAGACCAACTGGCTCGCTTTTCAGGGTACTACTAGTTGAGCTTCGACTGCGACTGTAATGAGACAGTGAACACGTGCGCGAGAGAAGCTGCTAGGTTCAGACCACTTGGCGAAACAGCGATTTCTGCCTCTTCCGACTGCGATGTCACAGTGTGTACATTACGATCGTTTCAACGTATATGATTCACGTTTAGTGTTGCTGATACTCTGACTTGCGTCCTAAGACCGTGTTCATTGATGGTGCCAAGGTCATCTTGCAAGTATGGCGTTCACAGACGTGCTACTTCAGCTGAAGCCCCTTCAGGTGTCTGTCGGAAACAAGTGTAATGGCAGTCGGCGAACAATTACGAACTGTCAAGGTAGCAGCACTCGGCTTATTTAAACAGCGCTACAGGCCCAAGTTCAAGCTCAGAGCCAATCGTTCCCCCGCAACATGAGCACCCCTGCTGACCTCCAAGATACTGTGAACACGATCAACGGCCTCATCAAGGCCCTCATAGTTAGCATCGAGTCGCTTCCTATCTACGCGAGGTACTGAATCACTTTCTCGTAGAATAATGGGCAGCAAATCAACACACTATGGGGTCAACTGGGCGGCGACGATCCGGATACGTCAATCCCTCCCAATCAAGTAGACTGGGATACTGCGCGTTCTGTACGTGTCACAATTAGAGCGATGTGTACAGGACGTGACCTTTCTGTGTAGGGCTGTGTCGACGACATCGCTGACGTTCAAACATGGGTTGGAAACCTGCACTCGGCGACGCTTGGTACGCACTTGGTTCTTCAGGATCGTCCTTGGCAGTGCTATCAGAGCACCTCAGAGCACTCTCAACTGACAACGTCACTAGCTTTCTTGGCATCTTTACCACAGGTATCCGCTGGAACGTCTGTCAGCGCACGTACAGATTCGCTTTGGCAGTTCCTCGCAGTACGTGTACCCGTCTGTTCGGTCATGGACATACCGGTCAACTCGTCCCTGAACAATTGCAGAATGTGGCTTCAGCCACTCCAGCACCCACGGCCACATTCATTGCGAATTTGCAGGACATGGCGACCTCTGCTGCCAATCTCGACGCCTCTCTTACAGCTGCTGGCCAGACGAATAGCCCTGCAGCTGGTCTTTTGCCCCTTCTTCAGGCGTACGGGGTTCTGATCCCTCAAGCCATTCAGGCCCTTGGGCAGCTGGATCAATACCAGACGGCGATGTATGAGAATGCTGCAGAAATTTTGTTCTGGGCATCCAATGAAGCGTTGAATGTGAAATCAGACGTAGTAGGTGGGGGAGTTGTGAGAGCGAATACATGGCTGATCACCGTCATAGGGCATGCCTTATCTCGTGAAGAGCTTCAAGTACATCAACTCCAATGACTATACGACAGACGCATCCATCCTGATCACTGTGAGCACATCTTCACTTCGAAATCGGGCCGTCGAGCTAATTCGGGGTTCGTTCGCTCCAGTGGCTTGCAGAACTCATAAACCTCTAATGGGTACGAGAATATTGTGGCGGAATATGAGCAGGCGATAACGACGCTTCTCGTCGCCCGCCTAGCTCAATCGGATAGAGCGTCAGACTCTTAAGAGTTGCGGGTGTACCGTCATCTGAAGGCTGCGAGTTCGACCCTCGCGGTGGGCTAGCGGTGGTCACCACTTGAATTTTTTTGGCGCCATAGAAGTTTTCGGAAATGCGAAATTTTTCCTCGAGCGTTGTTGATCCTCATGTCCTATCCCAAGCCTCTCAACGATATGCGTGAAAACGTAGACGACTCTGAGGAGTCAGATTGTTCTCTGAGGTGAACGCTACCCACTGCCCAGACGATTCTCCATCTCAGGCAGAGCACGAGGAAGCAGGGAGCGGATCCCCCAAAGAAGCGCCGGGAACGCGACGCGGCTGGGCACGTGAGAGCCACATGATTCGTGCACTCCATGCCTCGAAGCTTTATCGAAGCTCGAGAGTGGATGTGTTGAAGGCTCGACCTGGTGTCGGTGTCGCACAGCTGAAGCTGCCCATTTGTCGCTGGGTCTTTGAAGGTTCAACTTCTCGAGCCTGATCGTCGCTGTTGCACACAAAGCTTTCTGTGTTCCTGTCTTTCTACCCTACGAGCGCGAGGCAGACGGTCGTATAAGTACTCATCTCGACATCCAGCGGTAGATGTCTCGCCGACGGTTACAAGAACAGTAGAGATGACTCCATTACAAGCACAAAAACTCCTACTAAGAACATAAGCTGATTCATAAGGATACAGCACTGAGCACGGGGAATGTCTATGCATGGGCAGGGTAGTCAATTCATTCCATAATCCAATCCCGGACTGCCTTGCATCCTCCTATATCCGGATGGAGCAAGATGGAAGATAACCAATGTTGCAGGAGACGACGTCGACTTTCGAGAAACGCAGGGCGGAATTTGGCTAGAGGGGACTTCGGGGGCATTGACGGAAGGAAACGCTGTTGGTATTGCTGGGCAGGGCGGGTCAATCAGTTCCTTGTGGGAGGCGAAGAAAGCTGGGATGGAAGACATACAGGTAATGATGATCGCAGTCTGGCATGCAGCTCCGCGAAATCGCTATACCTCTTATGTGCATGCATCACTGTTCCCTGACGAGGTAGAGTCTGATGAGCATATACGAAGCCTCGTGATGACGTGCGCCCATACCTCCTTCGTAGATATCGCACAGTCATATACTGCAGTTGAGACCATCAGTACACAACCCGACTCGAGAAGTCATCGGAAGTTGGCTCACCAATGTAGGCACCCTCTCGCTTATCCCCTACACTGGTCCATCCACTGATCTGTACGTCACGAGCAAAACCGGAGCTTTGGCCAGTACTTTCGCCCAGCCAAATGTCATTAGAGAATATGGATGGTGCACCAACAGGAGACTGCGGAGATGCGGGACGACGGATTGTGTCGTATTCTGCAGACTGTGGATGGGAAAACCCCGAAGGTGGATGAGCTCGCATTTTCCGAAGAACTAGAATTCAGGTACTCACCTCACATAGTTCCTCGTACAATCGAGCCTCTTCCTCCACGTCGATATCAGGGATAACGACAAGCAAGTTCTTGCTGTTTGCGAAGGGATGAGCGGGTCGTTGAGTAGGAGGAGATGCTCGGTCCGCTGCGTCGACCATTGATAGATTCGGAATGAGGCAATTAGAGCTATGCTCAGCGATGCAAGGGTCGTCAGAACATGAAGTAGTAGCAATAAATTCAGCAAAAAATGTGCGTCAGAAGAGTGATGAAGCAAAGGAAAGAATGTGAGTTGGGCAGCGGAATGGGCGGAAGGAGGAAGGTGGGTGCTGGCGGTGGCGCGCTTGGCTCGCTCTTGGACAACTCTGTCTTCGACTACCACCGTCTCAAATTCATCGTCCTCTTTCACAGCATTTCGACAAAGCCTTGACCAATGACGAAACATAGCAAGAATAATACTGCATCCTCCATATTCTCCTACGCAGAACACAAGAAGCTTGACTATGGCACCAAGCGGGTGCGTATTGAGCTGTTTGCATGCAGCTTCACAGCTCTTACGACCAACAGCAACGCCTGGGGAATGAATCTATGCGTAGATTTGATGCTTGCTCGTTATGCCTTCAGCGAGCGAGAGAACCGGTTTCATGCCAAAAGGGTCACTTGTTCTGCAAAGAGTGTGTGTATACCGACCTAGGTGAGCTCTTCGACGTACTGCTCCCTGCCGCCCCCACTAATGTTACTGTCAGTGACTCAATTGGCGGACATCAAGAAACAGAAGGCTCGACTTGAGACTTTGAAACGAGAAGCTGAGGAAGAGAAAGAGAAAGCTCGCGAGGCGGCAAGGGAGAGGGTGTTGGTAGAGTTTGAGAGGGGTCAATTGGGACTTGCGGCACCTACATCTGCCGTGACAACATCCGGAGCCGAATCGAAAGATTGTGCGTACACTCACCTTTGCTGTCCGAGTGATGGTTTCCAATGGTCTCCAAATAGCTCGAGGAACCAAACGCAAGTTCGCGTTTGACTCTACCACGGCCGAAACATTGGCACGAGAAGCTGAAGAGGCTGCCCTGCGAGAAATCGAACGCGAACAAGCTGAGGCACTGAAGCACAAGCTGCCCGACTTCTGGCTACCATCTCTGACGCCGACTTACACAACATCCGGCCCTCCGACATCACTTTCCGACGTGAAACTGCAAACCTCATGCCGAGCTGCAAAGCCAAGCCATGCTCTTCTGTACGTTACTGATCCCCTTACATGATACCGCGATTAATGTGAACGAATAGGCGGAAGAACCTGATACAGGTCAAGTTTACCCTGGACAACTCGACACCAGGATCTGCGGAATCTACACCAACATCGTCGGGGCAGAAGGCCAAAAACGAAGATGCAGAACCCATATGCCCATCATGCAAAAAAGGGTTCTCAAATAATACCCTCATGTTCTGTGCGTATCTATCATAGTTATGCGCGTTCTTTTGACTAACATGTAACACAGTAATGAAACCATGCGGACACGTCACTTGCAAGACATGTTGCGATTCGCTAGTCAAACCGACCAGCCAATGTATTGTGTGCGACTCACCTTTAGCGGAGAAAGACATAATCGCGTTGGCGCGAGAAGGAACTGGATATGCCGCGGGCGGTCTTGCAGAGACGTCGAGGAAGGGTATAGCGTTCCAAGGATAGTCGTGCTGGGTCGGAATTCAGGTGCGTCGTCAGCCGCTGTTCATGATATGAGTCCTGATGACCTCATCCCTTGTGCGGTCAGGTCGTTGTTACACTCGTGCTGTACTATATATGCCGGTCAATGTTCAATCAACGGGGTACATGCTTCGTGCATTGCCCTTCTGTCATCAGGCGCAGTAGAAGTCTTCTTGACGTTTCGTAGCCCCACACATTGATACTGAGTGTGCACTGTCCCAGACGTTGCTGTTGGGGAAAAGCCCGTTCTACAGATGCTCGACTCGGCGGCTTGTGCCAGTGGTACCTCAAAAGCACCAGATCGTACGATCAATATTGAATATTGATCGATGCTGCTCCAGTTACAAGCCCTTCTGAAGTCCTTCTGATCACAGTACGCAAGAACGTGGCTCCCTATATGCATATTCGCTACAACGATCTTCAAAAGATACTCAAGTTCTGCATTGCAATATTGGTCATGGATAGCAAGCGCGAAATTGCACTTCAAGCGGAACCCGAGCGGAACCAGACCCTAGCAGCGGACCTCGCCGGCGTCATGTGGGCGTCAAGAGACATACTGTCTGCTCAGCTTTCGGTCCGCATATTTCTTGGATCTTGATGCAAGATCTGCCGGGCCAAAGTATCATATTTTCCCCTTACTCTCCGCTTTCGTCACATTGCATTTCAGTTCTGTTCATATGTCCCGCGATGGCAAGAAAGTCCCGGCTCAAATCATTGCGTGCGATCTTTTACGACGGCATGTTCACTGCAGAATTGGGCTAAGTATATTCTATTGGACTCGGTCTATACCGACTCTCTAGTGTGGTCTTCATTCCCCCTCTCGATTTTCGTCAGACACACCATGTCCTCCACTCTCGACGCACTCGTTTCGCTGATCTCGAGTTCGGTCGCAGAATATACCGAGCAACTGACGAATGCTCAACTCCCCCTTCCTGACCTAAACTCTCCAAGCCCGCCAGTCACAAGAACTGGTCTCTCCGAAGAAGCACGGCTGAAGGCTGCCCGTTCTGTGAAGATTATCGAAGCCGCTTGCGCGCAACTAGTTGCCACCGTCGCCGACCCCGGAAATGTCATCCTCACGGTGAGCTCCCCACGACTGCACGGATATCCATGACCATTAACGAGCGCGTTCATAGAAATCCACGGCGGTGAGTGTCTGTGGTGATGCGGTGCTTGTATTGAACGCTCATTGTCCTCGTTGCGCAGTATGAGAAGTCCGCTTGCTTGCAAGTCGCGATAGACTACAAGATCGCAGACCTGCTACTCCAGAAACCCGATGGCGTCCACGTTACGACGTTAGCTGAGGCAACGAATATTGAGGAAGACAAGCTCTCCCGTATATTGAGACTGCTTGCTACGACCCATGTCTTCACTGAAGGTGCCTATTTGTTCGTACAATTATGCTCGGCGTCATCGCTGAATAATTGCACAGTCCGGCCAAACGTCTTCGCCAATAATCGCTTGAGTATCGAACTCACGTCTAGCGCAAACGTTGGACCGGTGGTTGATATCGTGTGAGCATCCTCCGCGACGCTTCACTGTCTCTCACAGCTGACCGATTAGCAGTACTGGCGAGCAGCTGAAGGCGGCAGGTTATCTAAATGATTACCTCAGGGATCCGTCACAAGGCCTACCGTTCAAGAGATTGTACGGTCAGTCAATCATGGAATACTTTACAGACGTACGTGATGCATTCAGTTGTAATTATACGTCGCCGTTCATGTATGATGATTTAGCCCAAGAATTTGGCCCGCAGGCAGGTGCGTATCCCTTCTGGCTCCATCCACTTCTATCTTTGACACGCCGTCAGATTTGGGGTAAAGGTATCGCGAGTTGGATTGATCCCGCTGGACAAGATGCTATGCACAAAGGTGGGTACCCCCACTACACTTAGCGTTTGTTTTTCTCATTTCTACGCCAGCCTTTCCTTGGTCTGAGCGACTCAGCGCCTCAAAACCGCTCA